TGCTGCACGCGCCCCACGGGGCCGCGCGGCCCCAGGGCTCCCACCGACACGAGGGCACCCCTGGGTGCTCAGTGCTTCTGAGGCCGAAAGGTAGTGAAAGCACCGGGTGTGATGGACTGAAAGTGCTTTGTTTGAGTTAATACATGGGAAAGTGTATTTATTTTTAAACCAGATATGGTTAGCTGTCAGTATACAATTTTTTGCTGTGATAGAATAAATGTTTACTTATCCTACAAAGCACAAATATCATGACAGAGTTGTAACAGTGTGATGCAGTTTCTCTGTATAGTTCTTCAATGTCGCGACTGATTGATAAATAAATTTATGTTTTAATGTGCGTCCTCTTTGCCTTCCTAAAACGTTCAGTAGCATGCTGTGGGTTTTTTTGACCTATTAAATAACATTTGCCTGTCACCCAAATGACAAATGGTCCTGCCACACCAAAGGGTGCCAAATGAAAAATCTGATCTGTGGCCCTGACCAAACCAAGCCAGAGCAAGCTCCAGGTCTTCCCACCCTAGTACCAAAGCTATGGCTTTGCTCGGGTGCCACAATGCTTCGAGGCTAACCCTACCACATTTCAGCACAGTAATTTAAGGCAGAGCCATTCCTATGCGTGTGCCAACTAAGAGCAAATTCATAGTGCCACTATTTTAGTTTTTTGAACTCACCACGAGGAACAGTCCCTCAGAAAGCCACTTGCCGCTGTGTACCATTTAGCAGGACAGATAGTTAAACTGGACAGCTGGACTATCACACTAATTGAAACAATTCGGGGTGAAGACAGGTCTGGCTGATGGATACTGTGCCCTCCTACCAGCTTCAGCTGAAAAGCAGACAGTCAAGTGCGGCAAACTGGAAATACAGCCAAGCAGGATATATCTCATATCCTTTCACTAACTACCCAGGAAATGCAAGTGGTCACATGGGAGGAGCCAACAAAATCTCACAAAATGCCACTTTTAAAACGTGCATGGGTGTGAGCATTATTATTCTCACCCTCCAGAAAAGAATGTGAATCTCAAGAGGTACAAAAAGCACACGTCATGGGTCAAGGTACACGTCGTACGCTTACATGGAAATCCTCGTCCTTGTCCTGGACAAAACGTATGTACTGTCCTGGGGAAGCTCCATGGCACACGCTGTAGGCCTCCTTCCCAGAACAACGAGCCTGCCTGTTTACAGAGGTACATACTGGAAGGATGCAGAGGTCTGAAGGACAGTGACAATACAGCCAAACCAATTCCATGGTGACAATCCTTCCTAACGCCCACTTTGGGGTCTCCTGGGGTAATCCTTTCCAACGAGGGCACAGTGACTCCAGTTTGCCAGCATTTCAGGACAATGTTCAAAGCCACGACCCACTCCAGCCACCTAGGGATTCAAGTAGCAGCCTGGAGAATGTAAGGTATGCAGAAGCCCAGCAGTTTTGGAAGATGAAGAAGTCACCAGACAACAGAGTTGGAGCACAGACAAACATGCTATTCTGATTGCAAGTGGAGGTAGAGAGAGGGATCAAGCTGCGACGGGACACAGAATGCTTTCAGGATGACATGCTTATACAATATGTTTCTATCCTATATAATTTATTCAACCTACACACAGGTAAACCACAGTGCAGAGAAATCAACATCAAAGCATTCATATGATGGTACCTAGAGTGCTACTGAAGTTCTTGTGAGGTGCCAGGTCAGCACACCTTTCAGCAGTGCAGGAATCACAGCAGCTGTGAAAACATTTCACATTTGAGCAGGAAATCTGGATAAATGACCCTGAAAAGCAGTTCTACTCACTTTGTGAGTCTATGGAGAGTCAGAAATAGAGCCGAGATGGCCTCCCAGTCTGATGCTTAAGTCTACGAAACCTCAATACACTGACAGTTTTGCCTAAAAATAGGACAAGAACTCAAAGTCAAAAGCCACTACAGATGTTTGATTCACTGAATCACTAGCAAGAGTATAAAAGAAAAATCATAAAGGAAAAGGCAACAAAGTATAACCCAACCTAACAGATTAAGGGGAAAAAAAATAATCTGCTTTCTAATCACAGTCCAAAGAATTTTTTTTACTTTGTGATGGTAACACAGCAAGACAAATTTCAGCTTTTGACTATGTAGCAGTATTTGTACACATTTAATTCCACTAATTTTCCTCTCTTTTTGCTGGCCAGAAGCCCCCTTCCCCCCACCATCACCCCTGTAAGTACAAGTGCAAACTATCTCAGGACAGAACAGCTCTGCCCACTATTGAGACAGACTTCTGATATCCCACATCTTTGCACAAGACAAGAGGAGCCCCCAGAAGCATTACAGTAACATTACCATCAGCCAGTCTGCTGACCAATAGAGGTTTAATTCTAAATGACCTGCAGCACCCCCTCAGCTCTCCCACATGATGCTACTGGAAAAAACAAGGAGATCTGCCAAGTGGTGACAGGCACTTATGTTACTTCATTTACACACAAGGACACTGGCAAGCACTAGAAATAGTCAGGACACCTCAGCAATTTCCTGTTAAATTTAACATTTAGAAGTCACATTCATAACCACCCAGAGATACACAACATAAACAAAATAACCTCAAGCTCATTCAGGCACACTTCCTTTCTTTCTTCTCTCAGTCAACACACATAATTTGTTCAATCCTACCTCTCTGCCTTCTCTTCCTCCTCCCAAGGCTGCCAGGAGAAACCAGAGGGCACTGCTCCTCCAGCGCTCCCTTGCAGAGCTGCTGTCTCCTCAGGTGCTCTGCTGGGCCCTGAGCAAGCTCTGCACAGCTGAAACCTCTTGGTGACTGCTGGCGAGGCACAAGCCTGGGCCAGAGCCCACTGCTAAATAACTAACTCACAGGAGTTCCTCATCACTCCTCAGTTTCAGTCATGATCCTTGTCTCCAGACATTTGGTGTGTAGTTTCTTCATGCTGGCCATAATCTTTGGGCCCGGATTTGGAGTTGGAATCACCAGTCATATTATTTTTTTTTTAGTTCAGGTAAACAGGGGAGAATGAGGGCTGAGCAGAAAGGAGGGGAATGAAAGGGAAGAAGATGTGGGCAAGGATGAAAGGGGGGTGAGGGGGAGTTTAACTCCAGCATACATGCAGCAGTTAACAGCAATGCACTCCACAAATGGCTGCTGGTCTTCTTCAGAAATACCAAGTGGGGCATTGTATTACAAGTAGCAAAACTTGCATTTTTAACTCCATACTTTATTACACAACAAAAAAATTAATATGAAAGTACTTGGAGCAAGTATATAACAACACCCCTTTCACAGCTGAGAGTATTATAATGCTCTGGTTTTTTTATTAAAAGGGTAACAATTTTAAAATCATACACAAAGAAATGGGGACATCCTATTGGATTCACAGTAATCATGATAGATCTCAGGTGACTGAAATAACAGAGCTCTTCTTGGTGGTACCCAGGGAAGGGGCAACATGCAAAAACTGAAATGCAAGAAGACATTCCATTTAAACATCAGGAAAAGAAAACAAAAAAACCACCTTTTTTTACTGTGAGAGTGACCAGACAGTAAGTAGGTTGCCCAGAGAAACTTTGGAGTCCTTGGAGATATTCAAACTCAGGTCTGTCCTGGGTAGCCTGCTTGGCTGACAGAGCTTTGACCAGTGGGGTGGTACTGGACAGTCTCCAAAGATCCCTTCCAACTCCTAATATTCTGTGATTCCACATCTAACAGACATCAGCCAAGTCACACCTATCAAAATCGACTTAAGCAAAGCTAAAGGTAAACCAAGAGGGTGAAGTAAAATATCTCAGAGAGCCTGAGTTTATTGCCTAGAAAACTCACAAAGCAGGCGTATGCCAAACTGGATCTTGCTTCTCTTCTGTCAGTGCCATACTCTGCAGGTGTTATCCTTGCTCCCTAGGAATGAACACAGTGTGAAGGAATCATTCACACACAATTTATCCATTTCTGTTAACACCTACATCAACAATCCACCCAGAATGCTGAGGAGCCAGACAAACATTATTCTGTCCATGACTACCAACAGGTAGCAGGACCTACAGCAATATTCTGAGTTAATATCATCGTGCATCCTGTATTTTGGTAGTTCAGTCAAAAGACCGAAGCAATCACAAATACTCTGTTGGCATCTTTTCTTGCTGCCATGACTTTTTTGTCTCAAAGGAGGGAAACCTGAACAGAGTTCAGTGCCAAAGACAAAAAAGGTGTGCTCCTGTTTCAAAAGTTTTGCTTTTTACTCCCCCAGACCTCCCTCCCTGCAGTGCATTGTGGGAAAGTAGCTTAGTGAAGGGTCTGGTGCCAGTGTATATCCAGAGCAGAGACTGGAGGGTACACCCACACCTTTAGACACATCTGTTCACGGCTATATTCACTTAAGCCCCACTTCGAAACTGAGCTTCTGGCATTTCTTGACTATATTTCAAGTCACTGCTGGTACCTGCATTTGGGATATGGCCCCAAGAAACTTCTCAGAGTCTTATTTTTTTTCTGTAACAAAATTTCAAATAGCTCCCCAAAAAAAAAGATAAAAAAAGAGTTGAATACATTCATTACCCGTGATGATTGTATCGCCTTTGTAGCTGAACGCGCAGGAGAACAGCTCGTCGGTGTGACCCTCCAGTGTCTGGAGGCAATGCCCAGTAGCAGCATCCCAGAGCCGAGCTGTCTTGTCAGAGCTGGCTGTTAGTATACGGTTGCCTTTAGGGTTGAAACATACCTTTAAAAAAAATACAGAAAAGAGTTCTATTCCTTAGCAAGTCAATATGCCTAGAAACAGAAGCATTAGAAGATGAAAGCAGAAACCAGCAATTCTTGCATTCAACTTCTCAGATAAAATTAAGGATAGTATTCCACTAGTCACCTTGGCAAACTCCTGTGGCTGAAAACCTTGCATATGTACAGAGCTTTGAATGCTGTGACCTGAGAACTGGATCAAGACTTCGGAATGTTAACTCCCAAAATCACAGCCATTCTGTAACTGTAACAACTTTATTTAAAAGTTATCATTATTCAAATGGAAAATTCATATGTATTTTATGGAGTTCCACATTGAGTAACGTACCTTTCTGTAATATCAAAACTTCCACTGGAAGGCAACTAATTTTGTAGTGTGTCTTCATATACCAACTCTACTATACAACGCAAAATTGCTTAATTAGTGAGGGCGAAGTGCCTGTTGCCCAGAAAAGGGATTTCCCTGTAGCCAGCTCCCCAGGCGACAGCAGTGACAGAGCTCATCTTCAGGAACAGGCTGACTGGGCACCATGCTCCTGGCTGAGCAGGTTCCTCCTTCCAGCAGAGGACCCACAGCAGCACCAGGACCCCGGCAGCAGCAGTCCCAGACCACCCACATGTCAGTGCCTGGTCAGACTGCACTCCTCAGAGCACCCTCACCCAGCGTGGAATATTGCAGTGAGGAACTCCATTGAGTAAGGAAAGACTCACCCTCCTGAACTTAATGTTCCCTCAGCAGAGTGATTGTAAGAGACAAATCAATACAATGAACGTACATGAGAAACACCCTAGTTTCAAAATATTAATATTGCAATTACAAAATATATCAAAGAAAAGCAGCATAGACTTGTCAGGCAGGCCTGGAAGCCAGTGAAAACTACTCACTACTTGAAAGAATAGTTGCAAGTGTTAAATAACAAGTATGTACGATTTTGGAAGTAATTAAATGTGTTTAGAACTGAACTTTGGCATTCAGAACTGAGCCAGACAAGACTCCTAGCAAAGCACCTGAGCACACCCTTCACCAGCAAGTGGTTTTTGAAACAGGGTTTATACTTCCAAGTCCCTTCTGCACGTTTGAAAATAAGGCTGACTGTCCATGTATTTTGCCACAGAAATATGTTTGTTTTCTGTTTCATTCCATAAATAGGGTGTGCAGAGAAATGAAAAGGAGTAAATAGGAGCAGATTTGGTAGAAGCAAGGAATAAGGGTGATGGGAAAAGCCTCAGGGGCAATAGCCTTAAGGTGGCATCAAGAGACTAAAATAATTGTGCTTATTCTGTCAAAGAACCCGGGGACTCCAAGGGCATAGCAACACAAGTACAACTGAGGACAGGTCAGAAAGGGAAGCTCTGTCAACTATGACCATAGTGAGAGAACATTTGGACAGCACCTCCCTCCCTGCTCCCCTGCCCTCTGCCAAGTGAGTGGAGACCCAGACTACATACTGGTTCAGAAAAAGGAAAAAAAAAACATTTCCATGTTAACAAAGCCAGCTATCCACCCCTGGGAGGGATGGATTTCTTCAGGAGCTAACTGCCACAATGTTAAGGAATCAAATAGTAAATAACATGACAATATGGAGATGGATCTTGGTGGAGCCTAGAGGAGTAGCACACCCATTATTGTCTTAGCTTAGAAGTGGGGCTTGGAAACAATGACTGACCAACAGCTTTCAGTCAAAAGGAATGCTCTTTTAGTAAAGAAAACTTCTTAGCCAGACCTCTCAATCTTAAATATTAATGTTTTTAGCACCACATTCCTTAGCAGTGTTCCTGTGTCATGGAATACCTGGTGGACTGGATGTCACACGTATTCATAGAAGAAAAGCTGCAAACCACAAACAACTTACCTTTGAAATTTCACCTCCATGCCCTTCCAGCTTTGCAATGCACTGTTTTGTTTCCGCATCATAGACTCTTGCTGATCCTGTGGTAGCAGACAAGGAGCCACACGTGACTCTTAGGCCGAAGCCTGCATTTCAGTAACATTTCAGTAAGGCTGCAAGGACCTCATCCTCAGGTTTGCTTTCAAATCAAACAGAAGACAATCTTAACCCACTTTAACCTGAGGACAAGGTATGCCAAAAAGAATCTGTCATCTACTTGGAAAAGGCTGAATTCTTAATGGTTCCAGCTGGAAAACTTCTAGAATGTGAATATATAAATGCTCACACAGAACAAGGACTGCTGAAGTCTGCAATTTCAGAACGCATGTACAATACATCAGAAAGCTTTCATTATATTTCAGGTATTCATTCTATTTAATAAGCTATTGATTATATTTAACAAGCTATTTATGACATTTCAGGAAACTTTTAATGTTGCTTTATTTAGCAGCTACAGCAAAGCAGATCCAAATAGTGACCCCACCCAGCCTGGTATCCTCCTTCTGACAGTGCAAATCAAGACAGAGCAAAAAGCAAAGGAAAAGGCCAAAGGTGTTTCCTGCTGCCAGGCTGGTTCTCGCAGCAGTGCCCTGACTGCACTCACCATCGGCGGAGGCAGTGGCAACTCGCTGGCCTGCGTAATCAAAGCAGACATCCAGTATTTCATCACTGTGACCTGTTAAAGTTGCTATATGTGCCCCTGTCACAGCATTCCACAGCTGCATAGATAGAGAAGGGTCATTTTTTTATTTACTTTGACTCATTCAATAGATAGATATGTAACTGAGCCTTAATGCAACACGTATAGGCCCTTTCTGATGTCTGACAATGTATTAACATGCAAAACAGATTAAAAACTGTATTGATTAAACAAGCCTTAAAATATCCACTGTTATTTAACTGGACTTCACTGAAATTAATAAGCTTACATGCTTTGCATTTAGTTCTAAATTCTTCAATGAATAACATGCACTAGTTTGAAATAATACTCTTCCATTCAGAAAAGATACATCTTTATATATCCAGTGGCTGTATCAGTACACGCTCAACTGTCTTACCATGCACGTTTTGTCCATTGATCCAGTGACAATGAGAGAACAGTCCCAGTTGAACTGGGCACTGCTAATCTCTCCTCGGTGACCTATTAAAGTATGGAACATACTACAAAAAAGAGAATTGACATTTTCAATGTGGATTTTTATATATGCATATAAATTTTTAATAAGTTCATAAAATGGTATAGCTAAGGTGTCTTCACCATTTTATCCATCAAAGCAATTAAATGGAGTGGTAAGTTTTTCTTTACAGCAAGTTTTTCCACATTACTCTCTCATTACCCAACTTCAACAAACTGCAAACAGTACATCTTTAAAACTCCATCTAATCTAAACTTTTTATAAAATCCACTGAAGATCAAATGAACCTTAATTAGGCACTTAATGTGAGCTTGTTCCCCAGTAACAGGCAAATGACAGCCAAACTGAAATATGATTTCTAATCCTCATTAATCCTAAACTTCTTGCTGCATAAGACTGGCAATAGTTCCATTAAATTCTTCAGCTTTAGCTGAACAGAGAGGGCACAATTAGCTATTATTGCTTCCAATGAATTAATGGCTTATAAGGCAATGATCCCTAAAAAAAGATTAAAGGAGAGATATATATTAAAGTATTAGTAAATTAGGTTATCACAATACTAATATCACTGTACCATTAATAGAAAACTGCTTTGACTAATGGATACACTAACGATGAGAAAAACAACTCAGTCTGACTGAAATTTTATTCATTGCACAAGGCATAAGGGTAGCTAAATTAATATATATGCTAAATGAATGGCAAAGCAAATCTCCTAAGTAATTGAATAGTCTATTTGTTTATGATAACAAAAACTTGATTATACTCATGTCATTTTAGAGAACTACTCCTTTTACCTTCTAACAATGTGAGCCCTGTTCTGTTGCAATTGTGTAGATCATTTTACAGTAAAATCAAAAATCAACAAGCAGAGAATAACAGTGGAAAACTTCTTAATTTTGTGAACATATTATTTAACCATTAATACTGCTGTTATTGCAATACCTAATACCTAAAATACCTAATAAATAAAAAGTTTTTAATTTAAAATGTAAAAGCTTTCATTTCCAGATTTTGAAGAGGCAGTCCAGGCTTTAAGCTTCAATGCAAATATCCAGACAATAAGCAGAATAAATAGTAAGGTGTGGAACATCTCACAGAAACCACTATCTAGCAGACGCACAATTAGAAAGATGTCACCATATGCACACTTTCCTTTTACAGAAAAATTTCAGAGGCATTCTCCTTACTCTCACAAAAAAAGAAAAAAGATATGACCTCTGAAAGCATTACAGAATTGTTATCTTCATAAATTACTTTGCCAGTAATCAGGGCAATCATTTTATTATTCTACTTATACAGAATCTCCAGTTGAAAAAACAAATGGATTTGTCAGGATAATATAAGAAGTTCATATTTAACTACTATGTTATTATTTCTTGGCATCACAGTCACAGCATTTTGTTTTCTGCAGTGAGAGGTACCAAATTTTATTCTCTTTATAAATTTATACTGACATAAGGCCCTGTGAGAAGGAAAACAGACCCTCTAGAGTCTTTAAGATGACAAGAGCAGACTAATTTCCTATGACATAAAATATACTTTCTTTCTACTTAAACAATCTGTCCCAGCTAGAAATTCCAGACAACTTCCAAAGTGTGAGTTTCCATGTTAAAAAAATATTTTCGTTTGGAGAATTCATCAGCAACAAACACAGGATTTGTCCATTCTGTTACCTCCTCAGTGCTCATTAGATGGAAATGTAAAAGAAACAAAAACCAAACTTATACAAGAGGATTTCACACATAGCATTCGTTTTCAGAAGAATAAAGGGAATAGGACGATAAGGTGGTAGGACAAAGGCATGCTCTAAATGAAGCAGAAAGACAAGGTCTGTAATTCGTAGCTTAGCATTGTCTCTATCATTTGCCATCAAAACATGCAACCTAACATAATGTTAGTCCTGCAGTACCTGCCCGTGCCAACATCCCAGACCACAACGGTGTGGTCGAAGGAGCCGGTGATAATCCTGTCTCCAGTCCTG